AACACATTTTTGTGATATTTTTTTATTATTATAAAAAAAATTGATATTTTATTTTATTATAATATATTGTATATATATATGTGTGTGTAATAATATTTATCAATATTTGTTGGTTAGATTTATTATTATTATTATATTACTAATATAATATATTAAATATTGTTTTTAATATTATTAATGTTAAACTAATATAACAATAATAAAAATATTTTCCATTATATTAGTGTTATAATAATAAATTTATAAATTAGTTTATTATTAGTTTATTGTTAATTTAATTATTATTTAAAAAAATAGTTTTATTAGAAAATTAATGTTTAGTACAATTTTTTTGTTGATTTCTCAAATATAATATATGAAATACTATTATAATAATAATAATACTAATAATAGTAAGTTTTCTCTATAGCTATTAATCATTGAAAAAATGATTGGTTTGGCATTTTATATGTCGACACCACATACGTATAGAAAGAGAGAGAGAGAGAGAGAGAGAGAGATAAAGAGAGAGAGAGAGAGACTGGGATTCAAGTGTTGGGCGCATATTAGCCACAAATTTATATATATACTGTATATATATAGTATTATTATACAGTATAATATATATATATTATAAATTATATTAAGTGATGAAAATTTAGTCATAAAATGATTAATTGTTTAGAAAAATATTTTTGTGTTGTGTGTGTGTGTGTGTGGGTATAGATAGTATAGTGGGTATGTTTTTATAGGAAATATACTGTATATATACAGTGTATAATATTGTATATAATTTATATACATGAAACAAACATTATTATTATCAATAATAATAATACTAATAATATCGGGGGGTTTTATATATATACTGTATATATAAAGTTGACAATAATATACAATAGGAATCGAGAGTAGAAAAAAATCTATCATTTTTTTTGTTGTCACTAATATTTGATAGATTTCTGTGTTAATGAAATAATACTAATAATAAAATTAATGAAATATATATATATATATATATATATAATTCAATCACATTAAGTCAATGTATCCAATAATAACTACAACGACAACAACAAAATATATGAAATTGTCAGTCAATAATATTGTATACAATTGTTGTATATTAATAATAGTATTAATGATTATAAAAATTAATCGTTTTTATTGAAAGAGAGAGAGAGAGAGAGAGAGAGGTGTCATAGATTTATATTAATAATATACTGTATATATATATATATATATAGTATACTAAAAGTACGACAAACCAACCAAAAAAATAAAACAATTAGTTTTCACTGACATATCGTTTGATGACATCTCTCTCTCTCTCTCTCTCTCTCTCTCTCTCTCTCTCTCTCTCTCTCTCTCTCTCTCTCTCTCTTTCATTCATTCACTCTCTTTCTTAATGTATTTTTGTTTGTTTGTGAAGTGCTTTAAAGTGTTTGTGTAAACTAAATGGACATAAATTATATTATTTTTTTTGTTTTGTTTTGTTTTCAATATACTTAAAACAACAACATAAAGAGAGAGAGAGAGAGAGAGAGAGAGAGATTTAGTGGGTGGGGGAGGGGTGGTAACCATAAATAAATTTAGGAGGGTTATTATATATATGTATGTTTGTTTGTCAATACTATACTTTACATATATAATACATTATGATATAAGATGATGATGATAAATTGTGATATTTGATATTAATCACTGTTTTGAATTTACATATATAATGTATTGTATATATCAATACATTTTTTTGGCATTATTTATCTTTTAAAAATTTTTTATATAAAAGAAAATATATTTATATGAATATAATATCTCTATATATTAAACTTTATTTTTTTAGAAATATATTATTATATAAAATTAATATATAAAAAATGATTAACAATTTTCAATATATATTAGATTAAGTTACAAAATTATTTAATAATAATTAAGCTAGATAATATAATGTTGATATTACTGTATGTATGATATATCAATATATAATAATATGATTTTATATGACTATTATAGGCTATAAACTGTTTACTTTAAATTTTATTTTATTATATTTACAGTATTATTATTATACCCATTGTGTGTGTATGTATATGTGTGTGTGTATGTGTTTGTGTGTATGTATGTATGTGTTTGTGTGTGTGTGTATGTGTGTGTATATATGTGTTAAATATTTAGACCTTTAATAGTGTGTTATATTAGTGTTTTATTTTATATATATATAAAAAATAAAATAAAAATATCAAAATAAAAAAATATTTAAGTCAATATATACCCAGTATATTGAAATGCCATAATAACAATAACAATAATTTTCATTTACAGTATTTTTATTGATCATATATTTATATATACTATATATATATATAAATACTATATATATATATATATATATACACCATATATATAGTTATAAATTATCATAAGATTTATCACACAATTAAATTAGTCTCATAGGCATTTTTTTCTAGATAGTAAATAATAATAATAATAATAATAAAATAAAAATACAGTTATATTTTATTTAGATAAAATAAAATATAATATATAGATATATATATATATGATATTATTGCTACCAAATAGTAGACTATAGGGATTTTTTGTTATGTTTTTAAGATATATATATATAGTATTTTATTTATAACAACAGTTATATAAAGTATTATAATAATAATAATAATAATAATATGCAAACAATGCATAATAATAATACTACTGTACTTAAAATATTTATTATTATAAATTGTAACCATATATTTAAATGTTTAAAATTATTATTATTATTATTATTATCTATATTATATATATATATATAAAGTACTTCAATATCATAAGTGTATCACAAAAAAACAACGAAATAAAACATATAATAATAATAATCTTAATGTTTCTTAAATAACGCATAAAAATTGTCATTATTTTTCATTAAGAGAGGAGAATATAATATATGAAAAATATTATAAACTATTTTATATATATATATATATATCTTTCTCAGTCACCCACTCACCCACTCACTCACTAAACTCAACATAAAAAATAACAATAATTTATTATATATACTATTTTTATATATATCATACATAACTATATACAGTATATACAGTATATACAGTATATATATATATATAAAACTTAATAATATATTACAGTATATATAAGTTTAGCACAATTTACTATATCTAAGACATCATCATATAATAAAAATATATATATATATAGTATATACTGTATATAAATATACAGTATATATATAGTATATTATGTCTTAAAATATGATATATTATATTAAGTTTATATCATATATATATTAAAATTTACAGTAAGTTTTTGCTTACTTTTATGGTTGAAAACACTTATCAATCACTAAACTAGTGATAATGTGAACGATAGGCCATCGTTTCGCTGATACCACTGATCAGCTTGGTCACCACATATGCACTGGTATTTTTTAGCTACCAGTGCTGTAAGCGATACGGGAGGTCGGCAGGGGTTGAGTGGACATGTGTTATAGTTTGTGAACTTTTTTATTACTTAATTCACATATCAGTAATATATATATATATATTTATATTTAAATTGTTATAAAAATGTCTAATGTTTTCAAAAAATATATATCTAAATAGCTTCGCCAACATAACTAGCCCTTTAAGGGCTAGTTTGGCAAACATTTTAATTATTAATTAGCGATAAATAAGTACTGGGAATACATGTTTTACTATTTTGTTGGTCATTCATAAGATTAATATTTTTAATTTTGCATTTTTCAATATAAAAACTCTCTAAAAAATATCTTGATCTTTTATTTTTTTCATTATAAATAATATTCGGATAATCAAAGTTAATGTTATGACTAGTTAATCTAACATGGTCAGCTACATTACTTTTTATATAATTATTATTTATTGCTTTTTTATGTTCAATAATTCTATCAGATAATTTTCTACATGTAGTGCCAATGTATTTAAATGAACAGTCTATACAATCTAATTGGTAGACTATATTATTTTTATTTAATAAAGTTAACGGATTTTTGTTTAATAAATTTTTTATTGTCAAACCTTTTTTAAATACAACATTTATATCATAATTTGCTAAAATTTTCCTTATATTTTCACTTAAATTTTTATAATAAGGGATTGAAATAGTTTTGGTGATATCAAATTTATTTTTATCTGACAAATTATTATTGTTTTTATTTAAACATTTATCTATAGTTTCATTTATTATTTTTTTAGGAAAATTGTTTTCTATTAATGCTTGTTTTGTAATATTTAATTCATCTTTTAATTTCTCATTAGGATTTGTTAAACTAACTGCTCTATTAACTAGTGTATTGATTATACATTTTTTGTTTTGTATTGATTGATGAGATTTAAAATCAATATATCTATTAGAATGTGTAGGTTTGCGGTATACGAGTGTATCTATAGATTCATTATTTTTTATAAGTTGTACATCTAAAAAATTTAGTATATTATTAATTTCATATTCTATAGTAAATTGAATATTACCAATAGATTTACCAATTTTATTAATGTGAAATAAATATTTTTCAACATATCTTTTGTTTATAATTAAAAAACTATCATCAACAAAAAATTTTAAAAAACTAGGTTTAAAGTTACAATTATTTAAAGATAATTCAAATATATAACTAACTAATGTTTCTGCTAAAACTGGAGACAGATTGCAACCCATAGGGGCTCCCGATTTTTGGATATAAAATTTATCATTAAATGTAAAACAATTATTAAACATACAAAAGTTTATCAAAATTATAATATTATTTACATCTAAATTAGTTCTATTAGATAGTGTATTGTCGTTTAATAATTTGTTTTTAATTAATATTAATGTAAAATCTAAAGGAATATTTGTGAATAAATTAATAATATCTAAAGAAATCATTATTTCATTGTTTTTAATTTTTTGTGATTTTATTATATTTGCAAATTGTTTAGAGTCTTTTAATGTGTATAAGCTATTACGTAATGTAGGTGTAATAATGTCACTTAAATATTTTGCTAATTTTGAACAAGGGTGATTAAAATAGGGGATAATTAATCTACCTGGATTATTTTCTTTATGAATTTTTATTAAAGCATATAAATTAGGTATATTGTAATAACTTGGATATATATAATAATATTCATTTCTATTTAATAAATTTTTATTTTTAAGATCTCTTAATATATTTTTAAGTTTGTTTGCAATTGTGTTAATATTATTAGTGTCAATAATACTGTATATTTTTTTATCATTTAAAATATTTTCTACTTTACTTATATAGTCTATTTTATTTAAAATAACAGTTTTATTGCCTTTATCGGCATATGTTATGACAATATCATTATCATTTTTTAGTTTATTTAAACTAGTTATTTGTTTTTTTGTTAGATTAGGTTTTATTGATTTATAATTTTTTAATTTATTAATTAAATTTATTCTAATATTTTCTAAATCTGGTTTATTTTGAATTAAATTTTTTAATTTACTTTCTATATTAGATATAAACTGTTCAGGTATAATTTTGTTTGGCACTACTTGAAACTTAGGATCTAAACTTAAAATATATTGCTCATCATTATTAAAATGTTTATTAGATAAATTAACTATCCATTTTGAATTATTATTATTATTATTATTTATTTTATTATTATTAAATATATTATTGTTTGATAAATACAATTGAGTATTTAATAATTTATTGAATTTATTTTTTTGTCTCATTCTAATTTTTGATTTTAAATTTTTACAATATTTAATATTTCTAGATTCTATTATATTTAACATATTTTTTGGTAATAAATAATTAAGAGATTTAAATTTTAGATTTGCTAGTCTGTAAAACTTTTTTAGTTTGTATTTACAAACATTTATCCTATTTTTATATAAAAATTAAACTACAAATTTTAGCAGCTCTTATTGAGCTAGGGTATTTATCATTAGATATTACTTGTAAACTTTTAGGTATAATTTTATTTTCATAGCATTTTTTATTAAAAGTAAGGTGTTCACGGTACTTAACTATTTTAAACATGTCTCTCTCCCATTGCCTGCACCTCCGTATGCCGTCCATACCGTAATTGGTTTTAATCAAATTATTAATAGAATCACTCATAACTTTTTAGTTGTTTTCACAATTTTAATAAAATATATATATATATATATATATATATATAGTGATAATGTGAACGATAGGCCATCGTTTCGCTGATACCACTGATCAGCTTGGTCACCACATATGCACTGGTATTTTTTAGCTACCAGTGCTGTAAGCGATACGGGAGGTCGGCAGGGGTTGAGTGGACATGTGTTATAGTTTGTGAACTTTTTTATTACTTAATTCACATATCAGTAATATATATATATATATTTATATTTAAATTGTTATAAAAATGTCTAATGTTTTCAAAAAATGTTGGCGAAGCTATTTAGATATATATTTTTTGAAAACATTAGACATTTTTATAACAATTTAAATATAAATATATATATATATATTACTGATATGTGAATTAAGTAATAAAAAAGTTCACAAACTATAACACATGTCCACTCAACCCCTGCCGACCTCCCGTATCGCTTACAGCACTGGTAGCTAAAAAATATATATATATGTGGTGACCAAGCTGATCAGTGGTATCAGCGAAACGATGGCCTATCGTTCACATTATCACTAGTTTAGTGATTGATAAGTGTTTTCAACCATAAAAGTAAGCAAAAACTTACTGTAAATTTTATTAAAATTGTGAAAACAACTAAAAAGTTATGAGTGATATATATATTATTTTTTCTTAAATATCATACTTGAAATATAAAACAATATATTGTATAAGTATTGTAAATATATATATAAAGATATGTAAAATTAATATTTATACAAATTTTTATTTGTTTGGCTTACCATTAGTCTCAATGATTTGTGTCGTTTAGTTGTTTATAAATATATATATATACAGAATATTCTGTATTTATGTATAGTATATATTAAAATAATAGGAAACTCTAGAATATTATATATATTCTGTGATTTATACGTTATATATATATGAACTAAAGTCACTCTTTTATTAAAAAAACACATTCACTTAATATACAGTATATTCACACTATAAATACATTATATTATATATATATATATATGCTGTCATTAGTCAGTTATACGATAGGGTATAATAAAACTGTCCACACGTTGAGTACAGTATATATCGTAAACACAAAAAAAAATTTATATTCAATAATAATAATATGATTGTATGTTTCAAAAACAAAATTGAGTAAAAATATATTTTTTTTAATTTATTTTTATTTTTGTTGARACATTTAATTTATTAGTTTTAATACAGTCACTGACTATATATATATATATATATATTTTTTACTGTATATACAGTTTATTTGAATTGTTTTATTTTTGTTGTTGAAAATATTTAATAAGTTTTTCTACATTATTATTAATATTACTATAATATTAGTGTAGATAATAATAAAATAAAACAAAATTTAATTTCAATATAAAACACTTTATAATGATGTTATTATTTAATACTTTATGTTTAAACAGTAAAAAAAAACATCAAATTTATTATGTTATCAATAATACTGTATATTGTAATTAAAAAAAATTGAGTTTCACTTTACATATGTTTATGAAAAAAATTTTAGTTATAAATTAAAAAAAACAAAAATTAACACTAAATTTCATAAATAATTAAATTTTTTTTCACAAAAAATTGTATTTAAAAGTAAAATACAACAACAAAATTGTTTTATAATATTATTTTTTCAAATAAACTATTTGTAAATATAAATTCAATTCAATTTATATCTATATAAACAAATTTAACTATAAATATATATATATATATATAAAACGTGTATATTATGTATATATTATGGGATTTTAAACACTCACTCATACAATAACATCCACACAAATCCTATTATTATTATTTGATTTGTATTTTGTCACCAAATATTTTAATACATACACCAAAAAATATATTATATTCACATTGAAATACACAACAATTCAATAATAATAATATTACACACAAACAGTACCAACAAAAAAAAAGTTATCATTAGTTTTCATTCATAGTATCAATAGATATAAATATATTCACACACAAAAAAATAACATCAATTGACACACAASTATTTAGTTTTTTTTGTTGGATAGTATTGTTAATAATCACACATACAGTATATATATATATATAGTTATAGTTACAGAATATTCTGTACACTTTTTTTTGTTGATGATGTTATTGTTATTGTTGAAAACAGTGGGTGATAATACCGGTGCTCAACTACTACTAGTTAGTACTACTAATACTTGTGTTGTAGTTGTATTCAAGCATTTCATTGACGACAGTATATTAGGTGATTGTGCCGTACAAGTGGTATATGACTAACTGACTGACTAACTGTGTGTCAGTGTATGTATGTGTCTAAAAGTTGAACAATACTTTTAAACATATATACAGTAGTTTTTATTGATAATAATACTTATAATAGAGAGATAGATAACATATATACGGCTATACTATGTGTATATTGATAGAGAGCACAGTCGGTTATGGGGAACTGGCATTCCTCACTATATCGCTCTCAATAGTTGACTACCGGTGCTGATACTATTGCTCGTACTGTTGGCACTCAAACTGTTGTGTCGATGTTGAAGTGATGCTCTCTCTCTCTCTCTCTCTCTCTCTCTCTCTTCCCTATCGTTTCACTCCCTGATCTCTCATCATATTGTGTGAATGATAGGCACAGAGAGAGAGAGCACTGGTAGTTACAGTAGGATTGTACTGCCGGAGCGCTGGCTAATGCGCTGTTTGCTCTCTCTCTCTCTCTGCTTATATACAATATATATATATATATATAGACGACAATACTGTATATAAAAATCTTATGTATCTCTCTCTTATGGCAACAACAATACATTGGGCTTAGAGTTAGAGCTCTGAGAGAGAGAGAGAGAGAGAGAGAGAGAGCACATTAAGAGCTACCGGGAACTGTAGGTTATTAAGCAACTGCTGTAACAATAAGAAATGGACACAATCTGTATAAATACATTGTATATAATATATATTAGAATTAAGTTTCCGACTCCAGGGGTTGGGGCTACCAGTGCTTATAAACACAAGTGATTTAGACTATTGTATATCGATAGACAATTGTGTGTGACTGTGTGTATGTGTGTGTAAGTGTGTGTATGTATTTGTGTGTATGTATGAGTGTATGTCTATGTATGTATGTATTTGTGTGTATGTATGTGTGTATGTCTATGTATGTATGTATATGTATGTGTGTATGTGTGTATGTGTGTATGTATGTATATGTATGAGTGTATGTCTATGTATGTCTATGTATGTATGTATGTATTTGTGTGTATGTATGTGTGTATGTCTATGTATGTATGTATATGTATGTGTGTATGTGTGTATGTGTGTATGTGTGTATGTATGTATATGTATGTGTGTATGTATGTATGTGTGTGTGTGTGTGTGTGTGTGTGTGTGTGTGTGTGACTGTRTATGTTTGTGCTATAAACTAGACATTGACTAAACCTWAAAGCTTAGTTAGTTTTTTTKTGTGTGYGTGTGATGTTGTTGTCTATAAAATATAAATTTGCCAATTATTGGCACTAATTTATTTCAATTATATTTTTTTAAGTCAATAATAATACTGTAATAGATAAATTAGCAATGTCTATTTTTWAAAAAAATAAATTTTACAATAATTTAAAATCAATAATTTATTAAAAACGACTATAATTTCTATGTTTAATAATAATAATATGTTTAATATTATTTTAATAAAATAAATATCGAAATAATTGTAATCTTTTTTTTGAATTTTAAATAAAAAACTATTTAATCAYAAAAAATATATATAAAACAAAAATTTAAATACTTATGTATATATTTTTTTCAATCTATACTATTGACACATATTTTATTATTTACCTATTTATTCAAATAAAAATTTTATTTTTTTATTTATTTATTTAAATTTATATATATATATATATATTTATCTATATATTTATTTATTTTTACAAAACAATCAATGTATATACAAATATATATATATTTTTTTTTTATTTATTGTATCACAATATAAAMGCAGTTACTGTATAAATATAATATATATATTTTGCATAAAATACAAATAAAGTACTTAACACACACACAAAATTTAAATATAAATTTAGCAAAAAAAAACTAAAAAAAATAAAATAAATAAAATGCATTTATTCACACATAGTTTTTAAGTTGAGTGTAATTTTTATCCATAAAAATACCGTTTTATTTAATATATATTATATATATATATATATATTATATATATATTATTTAATATTACACTCAATGTTTAGTAAGTAATTGTAAAATATATTCACGTTTTTTTTGAGGTGCTATTTGTTTAGTCAGTAMAGTAACAGTAAARTAAAAACCAAATATATTTATATATATATATATATAACTTAAAAAAAAGTAAAAAGATTTTTATTTTTTTAGGCAAAAACTAACATTTGCTGAAAGTTTTATGTATTTTTATTTTTCGAGATATAKATATATATAWAAATTTGTATTTTTGTGCTATTGTATGCAATTATTAGTTTTATATTATATATATGTATTAAAACTATATTTTAACTATTAAAATAAAAGCTAAAACATATATTTTTAAAAAATTTATTATTATTATTATTGACTAATGTTTTTTTAGGTTGAAATTTTATTTTAGTTAATTTTATTTTGTTCATAGAATATATTGAATATATATATATATATATATAAATAAAAATCATTTTATAATGCACATAGAATATAGAATATATAAATATATTGATATATATATATATATATTATTTTCGATATATATATATATATTATTTTCGATATATATATATATATATATTATTTTCGATATATATATATATATATTTCGATATATATATATTATTTTCAATATATATATATTATTTAAAAATAAAATAAAATTAATTCAATTTATTAGATTTTATAAATTTTTTTTTGTAGTTTGTATTATATTATTTTGTTAAGTTATTTTATATATAAAATTTATATAAAAATTTATAACATTTTATAGTTATATATTGATATTTATTTATTTTATTAAGCATGATATAAAATTTATTGTAAAAATTTATTTTATTTAATTTTATTGTTGCTAGATTATTTATTTAATGCTATCTTCCAAAAAAATTGTTCACAATTGAATTCAATGTGTATATATATATATATATATGAGTGTCTGTCTACATATATGTTCATTCAATTGGGCACAATATATACACTGTAGTATAAAACTTATTATACTATTTTTTATTTATTTCATAGATAGCTAACTACTACTACTACTACTACTACTACTACTACTACTACTACTACTACTACTACTACTACTACTACTACTACTACTACTACTACTACTACTACTACYACTACTGMATCTATACTTTTTTTTTTGTATACCCCGTATATATATACCGGTGCAACAAAATAGATGCCTTTCTATCAAATCGATTGACTAAACAAAACGATTCTCTCTCTCTCTCTCTCTCTCTCTCTCTCTTTCTTTATGTGATTTTCACTATAGATTACTGCAATTTTTATCCCTTATATACTTCAAGTATAATAGTAGTTACACACTATCTCTCTCTCTCTCTCTCTCTYTCTCTCTCTCTCTCTCTCTCTCTCTCTCTCTCTCTCTCTCTCTCTCTCTCTCTCTCTCTCTCTCTCTCTCTCTCTCTCTCTCTCTCTCTCTCTYTCTCTCTCTCTCTCTCTCTCTRTATATATAAGTGGCACACAAAATAAAAATCACTGGCAATCATGAGCTTGAAAAAAAAATTTTAAGATTTTTATTTTTTGTGATTATTTCATTCAGCACTCAATTGCTATCATCTYATATATATATATATRTRTAGTATTGTTATCCACTTTTTTTTATTTGATTTCCTTAAAGTGCATGAAATATATATACAGTATATGCTGTATATAATRTTATATAGTATTAGATAAAAGTTATTATATAATGTACAATAAATATATATAGCAGTTATACGATATATACTGTATATATAATAAAATATATACATTATTTAATATAATAATAATAAAAAAAAAGATTACTAATAATTAGTGTATTGATTAATAATTTTTTATAATCTATTAAATAGTTGTTATAATAGTTGCTAAAAAAAGTCAAATAGTTGTTAAAATAGTTATTTAAACTGTATTAAATAGTTGAATATAGTTGCCAAAAAAGCCAAATAGTTATTGAAATAGTTATTTATTTTCTTATAAATATTTCAACTGATATATAATTCACTTGTTTTTAGCATATTTACAAAAATGATTTATATAAATAAACTAAATATTTCTATTGTTAAAAAAGTAATATGAGTTGATAACAGTTTACACATTTTATATAATTTATATAACTATTACATTTTGTTTTTACATATATTTGTGCAATATTTTACAATTTGATGCTTATATTTTTTAAAATCAATGAAATAATTATTTATAAGTTTTTATAGTTGCTAATCCAACAAATAGTTATTTATAGTTATAATAAAATTTCGGAAATAGCTGTCCACTGGTCAACTTCGGTGGACATACTAAGTCCCAGTTATAAGCGTTGAACCGACAAAATAATTTTTTTTAGTTGGAAATCAAGACACTACTAATAATAATAACAATAATATCAATGAATATTAAAAATATATATTTAAAATAAGTTTTTCAAATAAAATTATAATATTGTTATTTTATTATATATATATATATATATATTAATTAATTTTATTAATTGTTATTCAATTGTAAACAATTAAACAATAAAAAAGTTTTTTAATATTATTATATTTTTTGATGTTTATATTAATTAATTAATTAGAAAAAAATATGTGATAAATTAATTTTTTTCTATTGGATAAATWAATTATTAATTTATTAAACTATTATCAAACATAATTAATTATACAACAAAAAATAGTATTTAACTAAAATTTACATAAATTTACATATATATAYATATATACGGTATATATATATATATAATATTGTAATAATAAATGATAAGTACTGTATATACGGTATACTATCCAACTATCCTCTAATACATAACATATATATACTTTAAGTATAAGATTTAAGTATATGATGTTTGCGCGCTTATGGATGATGTGCTTATGTATGTTGTTTGTAAAACTAAACAAAACAACTAAACTGTCCATCAGTTAGTGGGTGAGTGGGTGAGTGAGTGAGTGAGTGGACATTTATGTAGAGGTATCATACTATACGATCAATGATATTATTGTAGTTAKTTTTTTTAGTATATACTGTATATATTGAAACATATAAACAGCTATCATATCACTGATAATAACAATATTTTTTTTAAGTATAACTACTACACAAATGTTTAGCTCTATTAGCTATCCATCCCTTTTTTTAAACGCCAACCAACTGTCCACTAATACTACTACTACTACTAACTACTGGTGGTTATAATAACTACGATATTATAGTTGAATGTCTTATATTATATATCTTATATATATATATATTGGATACATATGCTATCAACTACTGTATCACTCACTCACTCACTCACTCACCCACTATCTTAATAGTATGTTTACAGATATTATTATTATTATTTAGCTATAAATGTAATTTTATTTTTTCTTAAGTGGTGTGTGTTTATCAAACATATTAAAACAAAATTATATTTATTTTATTTTTAATTTTTTTTTTGGTGTGATATATCAAGTAGTTTATAGCAATAAATAACTAAATAAATAGATAAATAAATAGATTTTTTACTAAAATAAATATTAAGTAAAACAAATTATTAGATATTTATATATATTTATCGTAATATTTTAGAKATAAAACTAATTTTATTTATTTAATTTTATTTTCTATTACAAATAATTTATTATTTATATATATGCTATCATATCCAAGTTAGTTAAATATATATATATTTAATATTAAATAAATTGCAATTTAATTAAATTAAAAGTTATATAAATATTGTTAAATTTTTTAAAACTAATTTCTCAAATATATATAATTTTAAATTTATTTTTTATAAAACTATAGTATAATAATTTTAAAAGTAAATGTTTATTTTAAATTCAATTGATTTTATGTATAAAATTAATATATAGTTTTCTTTTTTAAATTAATATCTTGATATTATAAATCAAATATTTATTTTAATTATTTTTTAATCAATTATTTTATTTATGTATTTATTTATAATTTATAATTATATATATTATTTATTATTATAATTTTTTTGTCATATAAAAATTTAATTAATAAATTATAATTATTTTATTTTAGCAGTTAACCTAATAAATAAATTAAAAATAGTAAATATTTTATTTTTAAAAATTATTTTAACAAAATAATTAGTACATACTTATAAAATATAAATATTAATTAATTTATATATAATCATTTATAATTTAGTATTAATTGAATTAAAAAATTTATCAAATAATTGATGAAATATTTCGGATGATTTAATAAAACAAAAATGATTGCCATTTACAAAGTTTATAACTTGAATCCAATTATTATTATCAATATTATTATTACTATTTTTAATATCCATTGTAACCATTGTATCATCAAAACTATTATCACTATCATTATCGGTAACATTGATAATACATTTGTTTGCAGTATTATTATCATYGGTTATACCCATAACTCCCAAAGTTTCCCAAAATTTATTTACAGGAAATACCTTATCCTTACCGGCCATCACATACAGTGTCGGTATCTGTTTCTGGGCTAAACACTGGTATCTTAWTTGAATTTTATCTAAACTATCCGATAATAATATAAAGAAATAACTGGCAAACAGTTCATCCCTTAAGACATTTGATGCCCTCAGCAGTGACTGTTTGACGCCCAACCATACGAGYAGCCAATCGGGTACWASTAGTAAACCTAACCACCGGAGCCACCAATTGCTACCGAATCGGCAAACCAAGGCTATACCGTCCAATTGTTTCGGTGTAAGCCATCGATGAACTGGCGGTGTAATCAATACCACGGATTTGATGGTCAGTCGATGACCACTACTGTAGTCGCCGTTGACTATCTGTAAGGCTATTAGACTACCGGCCGAATGACAKACAGCGCAGTCGACTACWCGAATGGACAGTTGGTTAAGAAACKCGACGACCAGTTCTGCCCGTTCGTCACCCGAATGCCAAAAGTGGCCACCATTTTGCTGATGATGAYGACGACGACGACTGTCCTGAAAATCCGGTAATTTCGGTATCAATAACCGATATTTATGGCCAAACGTACGGCAAAAATGGGAAAAATGTGTCAAACAATTGGGCGATCCGTGCAGTAATAGCAGCACTGGTTTATTATTATTATGACTACCAGTGCTGCCGGTAGTGTCATCATCATCATCAGCACCGGTATCAATATATTTGATACTAATATCCAGACCATCTTCGGGCGTATTTTGCCATAGATTAGGTACCAGACGTTGAAATCGATGGTCAGGTTGTCTCAATTGATGATATAGTTTTTGACCAAATTTTCTTAAGGTAACTGTCCTCAGCTTATACGATGACATACGTTGTTCAATATCTTGATCGGTTAGCACTGGTATCCTGGGGTATACCATACGAAACCATATGTATAATAGTCTACAAATGATTAGCGATAATACTATTGTTGTTGTTATTAATAAAAACATAATTTTTTTAATTTATAAAAACAACTTATAATATAAATAATTATCAAAAAAAACACAAAAATATAAATCAATTAATTCAACAAAAAAATATTGTTTTTAACAATTTAAATATTATTTAAAATCTATATATATATATATATATATTTATACACAGTATATATTAACTATTTATTAAATACTCAATAATATAATACATGTTTATATAAATAATTTAACTAATAATACTGTAATAATAATAATTATTATTAGTTTTTTTAAATAACACGTGAATAAACAATATTATTGATAAACAAAAATAACTATTAATTTTTATTTATAACAATTTATAATAATTATTATTATTATAACTTAAAAAGTTATATACAATATTTTTTTTTGATTGTATATATATATATAAAATTTAATAATATTAGTAAAATGTGCAATATAAATTACTGCACTTATTTAATTGACACTGATAAAATATAAAACTGATACTAAATATATAAAAAATGTTAAAACACTTATCTTAAAATTAATAAAATATCTATTAGTTATTGTTATTATTATTATTACTAAAAGTATATAAAATATTTTTATTATAATATAATAAACTCTATTAAAAAAAATAAATACTAGAAACAGGTTTTTTAAAAAAAAATTATATTAAGGATAAACTTTAAGTTAATAACTTAGTTTTATGCACTAAATAATTAATTAATAAATATTAAGTTTTTTTTGAAAAACTTTCCTTTAAAAAAGTTTATACATTTATTACAATTTAGTAAAGAAAAAATTTCAAACTATAATAATAATAAAATTTCMAATTTATATCTCAATTTGATATCATATTATAGTTTTTGTTATCAATTTTTTGATTATAAACGCAAATCATTTTAGTATTTTTTTATGATTTAACCTATTTTTTTAATATAATATATTATTAATATACTAATAATTTTTTTTAATTATATATATATATATATGGGATGACTAACTAGTTTTATGACATTTCAATTTATGATAATTGCAAATACATTGTAATGTATATATATTTTAAGTGTTTATGATTAATACATGTAATTTCATAGACACATTGCAATCAATATACAGGTATATATATATATAAAAAAAATGATAATAAATGTCAATTACAACACACAATATTTATTAAACATTTATAGTAATTGTTTTTTTTAATATTTCTAGACTATGTGTACATAATTTTTATATAAATATTATTTGTAATAAAATTAATAGTAATTGTATTTATAATAATTGTATATTAAATATATAATTTAATATACAATTATTATTTTTTATTTAAGTAGTCATATAAATAATAGTCATAATTACAATATAATAATAATAATATTAAATAAATGTTTCATCAATTTATTGTAAATAACTTAATATRAAATAATAGTATTACATTGTAATTGTGTAAAAAATTTTTTTTAATTATTATAAATAATTTACWTTAAAATAACAAAAAAAATAATAAAAAWAATACTAAATATTATTGACAATAAAATTAAGATATTATATTATTTAAGTCTAATATTAATTATAAATAATTACTATATATTAAAATAMAATACAAYTACTGTACAAATAAACAAATGGGTAAAAGTGTAGCCAAATGTGTMATATTATTGGACAGACCACCCGATACCGAGTACGGACCMAACGATACAGTTAGCGGTCAGTGTATAGTTGATATCGATAGGCCAATACYGTTGAGCCAATTGTCGATCAAATTGAAAGGTSAGGCCCGAAATGATTACGAAACATATGAGGGTCCGCATACTTGTCTTAATCTCAAACATTATCCGGGAAACGGTATGTATTAGTTGTGTGTTTCTGTGTRTGTRTGTRTGTRTGTATGTATGTATGTATGTATGTATGTATGTATGTATGTATGTATGTATGTATGTATGTATGTATGTATGTATGTATGTATGTATGTATGTATGTATGTATGTATGTATGTATGTATGTATGTATGTATGTATGTATGTATGTATGTATGTATGTATGTATGTATGTATGTATGTATGTATGTATGTATGTATGTATGTATGTATGTATGTATGTATGTATGTATGTATGTATGTATGTATGTATGTATGTATGTATGTATGTATGTATGTATGTATGTATGTGTGTGTATGTATGTATGTATGTATGTATGTATGTATGTATGTATGTATGTATGTATGTATGTATGTATGTATGTATGTATGTATGTATGTATGTATGTATGTATGTATGTATGTATGTATGTATGTATGTATGTATGTATGTATGTATGTATGTATGTATGTGTGTATGTATGTAAGTGTGTGTGTTTGTATGTGTGTGGATGTGTGTTTGTATGTGTATGGGTGTGTGTGTCTATATGAGTGTGGAAATGATGTTTATGTGTGTGTGTATATATATATATATATGTGAATATAAGTGTGTGTGTCTGTTATGTATGTATGTGTGTGTTTTTATGTGTGTCTAAATTTATATGGATTTACTAAAAAATTTAATTAATATACTAATTATTATAAGTTTTATTTTTAAATATTTATATTATCAGAATATTCATCAATACTAAGCCCGGGTCAGCACAACATTGGTTTTAAATTTCAATTACCGGCCGAGTATTACTAATTATTTTTGCTATCAATTTATTTATAATTAAAATTATATAATATTTATTCAACAATTTTATTTAAATTTTTTTTTTTAAATAACAAGCCCTATTGGCCTGCCGTCAACATTTGATGGCCAATACGGTCATATCAAGTACTGGATTGAGGCACGCCTACGTAAGTCGGAATTGTTTACCCGAGACGATAGGCCACGGGTSCCGATAGTTATCAGATCATCGGCTCAGTGGTCATTAGAGCTATTGTCGGTAATTTCAAAACTATTAATATATATCAGTATTATAGATAACAGTGTAGTTATTAACCCCCCCCCCAAAAAAAAAAAATATATCATATATTATAGCAACCAGTGGTCAACAGCAAGATTAAGACAGTMGGCCTACTAAATGGWCAACCCGTGCAGTTAAGGTGCGAAATCCATAGGATGGGACACTCGGTCGGCTCAGACATWCCTGTCCAGTGTTTTATTGACAATCAATCGGATAAACAGCTATCGTTGATGGCTATACTCAAACACGCTGTCATATTCAGGGCTACGGGTGATCCGCGTACAACCAGCCGAAAGTTGATCCGATTGGCCGACKGTCCGTTGACTATAGGTGCCCRTCAACAGTATACGGAAACATTGATACTAACAGTGCCGACAAACCTATCAGTTGAACCCATGATTAAGTGTCCGATAATTGAATCCMAATATCTAGTATCGGTTCAATTGAAAACTGCCGGTTCSYTAGATTTGAAYTGTGATCTACCAGTTATACTAACACCCACCCCACCCCCTGTATAACACCCCCTCCTTCCCATATTTAAGTCAATTAGTTATTTAATTTAAATTTATTTTATTATTATTGTTAATAGTAATGTGATTTTTTAAAAAAATAATCACATTTTTTTCTAATTAAAAATCAATTTTTTCAAGTATTGTATAAAAAAATTAATTAAWATAGAAATTATTATTTTTAYTTATAAATGAAAAAAAAYTTAWATAAATAATTAAAAAATATTATTTAAWMAAATTAAATTMATTGATATAAAAATTTTATTAYATTTTTATTAYAATTTAGTTTTAAATATATTTTTTAAAAAATAATTAAAACTATTGATATATTAATAAAATAAAATTTTTTTTATTATTTCATTTTATAACTTATAATAATATTGTTTTGTTATCAATTTATAAATGTTAATCTAATTTTTTTTTATATAATAGATTACATCAATTAGCTATTAATTTATAATGTTTAATATATATATGAAAACATWTATATTTTTATAACATTATATTTATTTACAAATATTGAATGTATGATTAAGTGCAGTGCAATTTCATAGTGTCATTGAAATCAATATACAGGTAAATAATAATATGATAATTAAGGTCAATGCCAACCACACACACACACACACTCAATATATTTTATTTAAAAATTTAAAATTTAATTGTTTTATTTAATTTGAACACTACATGTGTAYATAATTTTAGAAATTATTTAATATACAAAAAATTAACAATTATATTGAATATAATTTATTTGATGACAATTTTTATTATTTATATAATATTTAAATAATATTTAAAACTAAAATATGTTTCACCAATTAATTTTATAATCTTAAATACTAATTGCATCAATACTAGTGTATCTATTTTTTTATAAAAAATATTGYATTCAAAAAATTATCTATTTAAATTTAGTGATTATAAATAATCTAGTTAAAATTATATATTATTATATAATAATATATAATAAATTTGTGTTAATAAATTAAATTCATAGATTAATTAAGTGTAATATAATAATAATAATAATAATAAYAATTTATTAAAATAATAATAATAATAATAACTATTATATTATAAACAAACAACAAACAACACAAAAACATGGGTAACAGTGTAGCCAAATGTGTCATATTATTGGACAGACCACCCGATGCCGAGTACGGACCCAACGATATAGTTAGCGGTCAGTGTATAGTTGATATCCATAGGCCAATACCGTTGAGCCAATTATCGGTCAAATTGAAAGGTGAGGCCCGAAATGATTACGAAACAGTTGAGGGTCCGCATACTTGTCTTAATCTTGAATATTATCCGGGAAACGGTATGTATTAGTGGTGTATGTATGTATGTATGTATGTGTTTGTGTGTGTATGTATATAAATATATCTATGTATGTGTGAGTGTATGTGTGTGAGTGTGTGTGTGTGTGAGTGTGTGTGTGTGTGTATGTATATAAATATATCTATGTATGTGTGAGTGAGTGTGTGTGTGTGTGTGTGTGTGTGTGTGTGTGTGTGTRTGTATGTATGTGTGTGTGTGTGTGTGTGTGTTTATATTTATGTATGTGTGTGTGTATGTATGGGTAAAATATTTATTTTTTAAAATCTAATTATAATATACTAATTATATACTATTTATATATATTAATAGAATATTCATCAATACTAAGCCCGGGTCAGCACAACATTGGTTTTAAATTTCAATTACCGGCCGAGTATTACTAATTATTTTTTTTTCTAATTAATTAAATTATTATTACAATAATTATAAAATAAGTATTTTTTWAAAAAAAAAACTTATTTTCTAACCCAATAGTGGTCTGCCGTCAACATTTGATGGCCAATACGGTCACATCAAGTACTGGATTGAGGCACACATACGTAMGTCGGAAWTGTTTACCCGAAACCATAGACCACGAGTACCGATAGTTGTCCGATCATCGGCTCAGTGGTCTGTAGAGGAACTGTCGGTAATTTTTTTTTTTTTATAAWTTAGTCATAAATTTAATAATAATAATATAACAAACAAACAATTTATAGCAACCAGTGGTCAACAGCAAGATTAAGACAGTCGGCCTACTAAATGGACAACCCGTGCAGTTAAGGTGCGAACTACATAGGATGGGTCATCCAATCGGCTCAGACATACCTGTCCAGTGTTTTATTGACAATCAATCGGATAAACAGCTATCGTTGATGGCTTCACTCAAACACAATGTCATATTCAGGGCAACGAGTGATTCGCGGACAACCAGCGTAAAGTTGGTCCGATTGGCCGACGGTCCATTGACTATAGGTGCCCATCAACAGTGTACGRAAWCATTGATACTAWCAGTGCCCAGTAATCTAGCACTGGTATCTATGATTAATTGTCCGATAATTGAATCCCAATATATAGTATCGGTTCAATTGAAAATAACCGGTTTCTCAAACTTAAGCTGTGATCTGCCCGTTATCCTAACACCCCCTGTATAACACCCCCTGTATAATACTCCCTAATTAAGTCAATTAGTTAGTAATTTACATTAATTTCAAATATTAATGTGTTATTATTTGTTATATTTTTGTTATAAATAATCTAATTATTTAAGTTTACAAATATTAGAAATTTATTGATTTATGACCACAAAAAAACTAAATAAAATAAATACTCATCAATACTAAGCCCGGGTCAGCACAACATTAGTTTTTTTTATTATTAATTTCAATTGCCGGCCGAGTATTACTAATTATTTATTTATAATTATATAATATATACTAATATTGTATTTACTAAATTATTTATTATATTAAATAAATTTTTTTTAAAAAAAATTCAATTCATTGAAATAAAATATTTAGTATTTATTACAATTTAGTTAAACATTTTTTAAATAAATTAAAACTATTGGAAATATTAATAAATTAATTTTGTTTTTTGATAATCTCATATTTATAACTTATAATATTGTTTTCTAATCAAAAATTTTTGATTTAACTTATTTTTTTATTTGTTATATAATTATATAATATAAAATTATATTAATAGACTATTAATTTATTATATATAATAGTTTTATAACATTTAGAAATTATTTACAAATACAATGTATGATATATTATATATATATATATTAAGTGTATGATTAATATATAATACATACATATACATGCAATTTCATAGTTTCATTGAAATCAAGGTACAGGTAAATAATTTTTTAATAAAATTATAATTAAAGTCAATGCCAACAAAAACACACACAATATATACACAGTATATACTGTACAGTATATATATAAACATGTTTTTATAAATAAACAATTATTGTTTCAATTGTTTTTTTAAATTTCATTTTTATACTATGTATACATAAATTTCTATATTATTTTTAAATCAAAATATTAAAAATAATAATAATTGTATTAAATATTGCAAATTTTTTGTTTATATAATATTAAAATATTTATAAATACATTGTACACAAAAATAATAAAAAATTATTTGATTACTAAAATGTTTCACCAATTAATTTTAACTTAAATAATGTATTATATTGTAACACTAATAGTGTATTAATTTTACAAAAAAATAGTATTCAAAAATTAACTATTTAAATTTTTGTTATTATAAATAGTTAAAATTAAATATTATATACAGGGTTTTTTCATTGATTTTGTAGTTTTATATAATAATTTTGTAGTTTTGCAACAATAGTTTGTAGTTTATAACATGAAATTGTAGTATATATATATATATATATATATATATATTATAGTTATTATATCAAAAAATATAATTATTGTTTGCATTGAATCTAAAATTCGAATACAATTAATATATTGCTTACAGTTAGCTTCAATCTATTGCTATAAAAATCCAAACTATTGTTGCAAAACTACAATTTCATGTTATAAACTACAAACTATTGTTGCAAAACTACAATTTCATGTTATAAACTACAAACTATTGTTGCAAAACTACAATTTCATGTTATAAACTACAAACTATTGTTGCAAAACTACAATTTCATGTTATAAACTACAAACTATTGTTGCAAAACTACAATTTCATGTTATAAACTACAAACTATTGTTGCAAAACTACAAAATTATTATATAAAACTACAAAATCAATGAAAAAACCCTGTATTAATAATATATAATAAAATTTGTTATAATAAATTAAATTTATAGATTGTGTAATATATATAAACTATTTAATTACTATTTTTAAAACAACTATATATTACAACAACTACTGTACAAAAAAAATGGGTAACAGTGTAGCCAAATGTGTCATACTATTGGATAGACCACCCGATGCCGAGTACGAACCCAACGATACAGTTAGCGGTCAGTGTATAGTTGATATCCATAAGCCAATACCGTTGAGCCAATTGTCGGTCAAACTGGTAGGCAAAGCCCGAACCGAATGGTTGGCTCAGCAAACATACAGTTCAACCGATCCAATGACTGGCAAAACTAAACACCGATACGAAACATCCAGTAATGTTGGCCAACATACCTGTCTTAGTCTCAAACATTATCCCGGAAACGGTATGTATATATATATATATATATATATGTGTGTGTGTGTGTTATGTATGTACAGTATGTATGTGTGTGTATTATGTATATATGTATTTGTATGTATAATGTAGTTGTGTATATATGTATGAATGTGTGTGTGTGTGTGTGTCTGGATGTATAAGGATTTATTATAAAATATAATTAATATACTAATTATTATCAAAAAGTTTTATTTAATAAATACATAATTAACAGAATATTCATCAATACTAAGCCCGGGTCAGCACAACATTGGTTTTAAATTTCAATTACCGGCCGAGTATTACTAATTAATTTTACTATTTATTTATTTATGATTAATTTTATAATTATATATTATTATTGTATTTACTAAATATTATAATATAATTAACCCAATAGTGGTCTGCCGTCAACATTTGATGGCCAATACGGTCACATCAAGTACTGGATTGAAGCACACATACGTAAGTCGGAATTGTTTACCCGAGACGATAGGCCACGGATGCCAATACTGGTCCGATCATCGGCTCAGTGGTCTCTAGAGGAACTGTCGGTAATTTTATTTTTAATTAGTCATCAATTTTAGAAAACAATAATAACTTATCAAAAAAAAAAATATCATAAACTACAGCAACCAGTGGTCAACAGCAAGATTAAGACAGTCGGCCTACTAAATGGACAACCCGTGCAGTTAAGGTGCGAAATACATAGGATGGGACACTCAGTCGGCTCAGACATACCGGTCCAGTGTTTTATTGACAATCAATCGGATAAACAGCTATCGCTAAAGGCTGTACTCAAACACAATGTCATATTCAGGGCTACGGGTGATCAGCGCACCTCCAGTGTAAAGTTGGTCCGATTGGTCAACAGTCCAGTGACTATAGGTGCTCATCAACAGTATACGGAAACATTGATACTAACAGTTCCGGCTAATCTAGCATTGGTACCCATGATTAAGTGTCCGATTATTGAATCCCAATATCTAGTATCGGTTCAATTGAAAATTGCCGGTTCCTTAAACTTGAATTGTGAACTACCCGTTATCCTAACCGCCTCTATATAACTGCATACTAACTGTTTGTTTGTTTTTTTTGGTGTCAATTATTTATTTAATTTATATTTAATTTTTTTTATTAATTATTATTTTGATAACAATATATGTTTACTATAGTAATATAATACATATTATAAATATTTATTTTTTATTAAATTACCTTAATGTGATTGTAGTGATGTAGTGTTAATATAAATATTTTAATTAATTAATTAATTAATTAATTGTTATTTATATTTTAATTAATAAAATAAAACAAACAAACATTGCAATAGTGTATTTTCAAAAACAAAATTACTATATATGTTAATATGTTTAACTAAATTAGTATATACTATATATATATATAATTATATTATAGATTTTAACTGTTTATAATTAACAAATGATAAAATAGTCTATTGAAAAATTAATTTATAATTTAATTAGATATTCAATGACAAATACAATGACAACAATCGGCATTAGTGTCATATAGGGACCGATAGCTACACGTATAGAGTCCAGGGGTACCCGATAGTCGTATGGGTCGGGCTTATCATAATTTTCAATAGTAACAAATGTATCACGGTAATAAATAAACCAGGCCAAATACCAACTGTCCCATTGGCCAGTTTCGCGTACTTGAGTGATACTATTATTTAAAAAATTATTAAATAATTAAAAGTTAATTAGTTAATATAATATAAAAAAATCAACTTATAAATATAAAAATAATTATTAATAATTGATTTTTTTTGTTTAGAATATATTAAACGTGTTTTCTAGGGTTGCCAAATAAATAAATAACTAAAAAAAATATTTTGGTAAACCCTAGAAACTAAAATTAAATTAAAAACTATTAGATTAAAAAATTATTATTTAAATTATACTTTTATTTTTTTTTTAAAATTTTTGTTGTAATTTTAGCAAAACTTTATTTATAAACACAAAAAAATGTATATAATAATAAAAGTATACTTTAAGATAATAATAATTTAAAAAAAAAGTTTTTCTAGGGTTTACCCAAATATTTTTTTAGTTATTTATTGGACAACCCTAGTATATATATATATATATACATACAGATATCTAAAATGTTTGTATAGTTTCGGATCGGTTATGTTTCTATATAGTAAATGTCCGGCACTCATATCTTGATAAATTTCCCGTGAAATATGCAAACGATGATTACGATTCTGCATCAAAACAATAGGATTGCCATAACTTAGGGATACAATTACTAATTGTTTTTGATATTTTTCCACATTATCTAATAGTTGCCGAAATTGATTGTTTAATAGGCTATCCATAGTTAGATCGCCTAATAAATAGTTATTATTCAATGATTTCGATTCTTTAGCTCTTTTTATTATTTTTTGTTCAATTGGTGTCGACTTATTCTGGAAATTAATATTATTATTAATTAATTAATAATATTATTATATTTTATTAAAAAAATTATGATAAATATATTAACCTAAACTATTCACTTAACTAATTTTTTCTAAATATACAATTTTTTATCGATAATTTTTTTTTACAAAATTTGAGTAAATTCCCTCTAAATTTTCATTAAATTCCCAGTAAATTCCCAGTAAATTCCCAGTAAATTCCCAGTAAGTACCTTCTAATATAAATATATTATATTTAGAAATATATATAAATTAGTATATATATATATAAATTAGTATATATATATAAAAATTARTATATATATATATAAAAAAATTAGTATATATATATAAATTAGTATATATATATAAAAATTAGTATATATATATATAAAAAATAGTATATATATATAAAAAAATAGTATATATATATAAATAAAAAAATAGTATATATATATAAATTAGTGTATATAAAAATTAGTATATATATAAAAATAAATAAAAATTATACCTGATAAACTTTTAAACTATTATAAGACATAAATAAATAGATATCTAAATTACGATCGCTATTCAAAATATCTTCATATGAATCAATAGTTTCGTATGGATTTGTTAGATATATTGATAATATTTCCTGATTTAGTAAATTTAATGTAAAAAATTTTCCAATAAATAGTATACCAAAAACAATATAATAATATACAGACATATCTTGATTTAGATTAACTAAATAAATAAAATAAATAATTTATTTTTAATATAAATAAAATAATTATATTAATTACAAAAAAATTAACATACAATCAGCTATTAAAGCATTATATATTGTCCATAATTGTAGCCATATTGTTGTTTTTGTATTAGGACTATTTTTTTAAAAAAAATATTAAATTAAATAATAATTTTAAAAATATAATTATTTTAATTAAATGCACAATTTAATAATATATATATATATATAGTTACCTATTAATAATATTTTTGCCATTCAAATCAATTTTATTATTATAAATTGTATTAATGATTGCAAAAATTATAATCGTCAACAAAATACCCAACCAATACTAATTTGAGAAATTAAATATATATTACTATTATTAATATTAATATATACTTTAAACTAAAATAATATAACAATTTTTTTATTGATATTAATTATGTATATAAAATTTTAAACTTAATTTAACTTAAAAAATTTTGTGTTTCAATAAAATTAATTTATTGAAAAGATAATTAAAATAAGATAATAATTTATTGATTTATAATAAATATATTAAAATTAATTTATATTAACTTAATTATTATTCTAATCTTATTAATCTTATTAAACTAAATTTAAATATAAATAATAAAATTAAAAAACAAAGCATATTAAATACATAAATATCCAATATATATGCAATGGCATCAAATTTATTAGTTTTATTAGTTAAATATAAACTGCCAACAATTGCATAGTTTAACAATTTCAATGGCCATATAAAATAAAAATTTTCAATCAATTTATCATCCAATGTATTTGCATCAAGCAATATATCAACGTACTAATCAATTTTATATATATATAAAAAAATCAAATAATTAATTAATATTTTTTAAAGTTATTATATCTATATATTAAATTTACATTTTATAATTTTAATAATTAAAAAAAATTAACAACTTACATTATTTTGTGCATATTTTTGAGCCAGTGAGCATGTGAATTTAAATTATTACAATTTGAACAATTGATAAAATTATAATCAAGGTGAATTGGTATTGCACTTTAAAATAATTGTGTTTTTTAAAAAAATAAAATAAATTAATTATTTATTTCAAAAATAAATAAATAGTTTTTATTTACTAACTAATAAGTTACCCAAAATAAATAAAATTATAACTAATTATAATTAATTAATTAATTAAATATTTACCCATATTTACTAAGTCTAACCAATTCATAGACAATTTGAAAATATGGTCCACATATATAATTTAAGCCAGTACCAATTTTCTATTTTTAAAAAATTAATTAATTAAAATAATATATTTAATTTAGTTTTTTTTTTAAAAATAAAATAATTTTAATAAATAATTTTAAAAATAAAATTTAATATTTACAAGTAATATTGATGAAAATGTAAAATTGCCTAATTGTCTACCAAATTGATGATCAAATTGATATGGTCTAGGTTCATCAAATATATTATAATTACAATAAAAATTTGGTGCCACTCTTTCGTACATTTTTTTAAAATTAAAAATTATTTTTTTTTAAATTTAAATTAATTGAATATTGTTTGTATATAATAATTATTTAAGCAATTGTTTGTGTTATTAATATATATATATATATATATAATACTGATAGTCAAAATAACTTTTTAAAAAATAATTTTTAACTATTAACTAACAAATATTAAGCAATGATTTATATTTTTATTAAAATCTATATTACTGTATAAATGTATTTATATAATATATATCGGTATATATATAACAGATAATAGACAGCATAACACCAATTGACATGTTTTTAGTAAATAATTAAATATTTATTAATATTGATTATTAATTTATTTTGTAAAAATTGTTTTTTTACAATACTATTAAATATATATAAATATATATATATATATATAATATTTTACTAATCACAATTTTTAATCATAAAAAATTTATTATTAATTTAAATTTTATAGTATTTTTTGTTTTAGAAAATAATTAATTTTTTTTATTTATTTGAAATATCAGACTGGTACAATAACTAATTTATTATATATATATATATATATATATATATATATCTATAAAATATAGACTTTAAAAAAATTAATATATTTTTAATTTATGACTATTTGAGACAAAAATAATTTCAATAGGAATAATAATAATAATAATTAAGATTTAATTATATAAAAAAAATATCTAGAAAATTTTTAATATTTTTTAATTTGTTTCATATGCTAATTATATATTAGTATTATAATTGCATAAATAATAATAATAATAATAATAATAATAATACTATTTTAATTAAGCAATTTAATAATTTTTTTTTTAAAAAGCACTTGTAACTTGTAAAACATTTATATATATCACAAATATCTATTAAATAATAATTTTTTTTATAAAATCTAATATTTAGAAATTATTTAGTATAATAAATAAAATCAATAATTTTGTTTTTTTATTGTTATTGTAAAGATTATTATTTTTTTAATAAATACTTTTCCAAACTAATTGATTGATTAGTTATAATATTATATAAAAATTTCTATGTTTAATATGTTTAAACTTAATTATTTTAGTAGTAGTAGTATCTATACTGTATATTAAATTAAATTATAATTTATACTGATTAAAAAATATTAACCATGATATATTTATTAAAAAAAACAAATTATATAGTATTAGCATTTAATAATAGTTGTGTAAATAATATTTATTTATTTTATTATTATTTGATGAGATTTTCAATAACAAATACAATGATAACAATTGGCAACAAATAATAATACGAATTTAATTATAAAATTTTTTAAAAAACAATTTTTGTTGTAAAACATTTTTATAATTTTGAAAAACATTTATAACACAAATATCTTTAAATAAAATAATTTATATAATATTGATATAATTATGATGTAAATAAAAAAAAATTTTCTTGTTCATAA